GTTTTCATTGGTTTTCATCATAACTGTATCATATCGTTTCATCATAACCATTTTTATCATAACCCTATTTATACTGACAAAATATTAGAAAATCAATGACCCCCTGGGATAGGGCCAATTTTGACCCCAGGGCTTTTGTTTGAACAAACTTGGTATACACTCACTAAACGATGTTTCATGCTTAATATATAAGCTCTAGCCATTTCAGTTTTTTAAAAGAAGATTTTTTTAAGTTTTTACTATGATAATATTATATAAGGAAAATCAATGACCCCTGGGACGGGGCCAATTTTGACCCCAAATCTTTCCTTTGAACAGATCTGGTAGACACCCGCTAGAAGATGTTTCATGCCAAATAACTATGCTCTAGCTCTCTGTGCTCCTTAAAAGAAGATATTTTAAGTTTTTCCTTTCGATTGCCATGACAACCAGACAGATATTCTTATAAGGTTTGAATAAAGTTAGTTTAGCTGTTTATCAGGAAAAGTCGTTTAAAGTTAAAGTTTACTGATGGGCACCAAGATATAAAAGTGATCACAAAAGCTCACCATGTCACTTTGTGACATGTGAGTGACATGTGAGCTAAAAATAGGTATTAATATCCCGCTCATGACTTTTTTTCTTTCATATATATATGTGGCAACACATGGCTACATTTATTGCTATATTTATTGTAAAATATGCAACTTATTTTCTTTACTCATACCTAGTTGATTTTATGTTCAATGCTGTACTGAATAACATCAATACATACTTGTTTGAAGGCAACCCATGCAAATTACTTGTTCCATATTAAATCTATTTCCCATTAGCCTGGGTATGCAAATGTCCATTTACTAAGCTTACACATCCACACCCAATAGACAGGTTTTATATAGACTTCTCTACATTTAAAGAACTAATTCAGCATGATATGGTTAAAAACAAGAGGGCCATGATGGCCCAAAGTCGCTCACCTGTATATAGGCCCCAGGAGCGGGGCCAGTTTAAACCCCAGGGCTTTTATTTGAACAAACTTGGTTGTATATGTATGCATGTATATATATATATATATATATATATATATATATATATATATATATATATATATATTATATATATATATATATATATATATATATATACACACATATATATATATACACATATATATATATATATCATATATATATACATAATATGTATATATATCTATATATATATCTATATATATATATACATTTATATATATATATATATATATATATATATATATTTATTTATTATATATATATATATATAAATATTAAAATATATGTATATATATAATATGTATATATCTAAAAAAAAAAAAGTCAAGCTAATGAATGACCCCCGGGGCGGGGCCAATTTTGACCCCAGGGCTTTTATTTGAACAAACTTGGTAGACACCCATGAGAACATGTTTCATGCTAAATATCTTAGCTCTAGCTCTTTGAGTTCTTTAAAAGAAGATTTTTTAAGTTTTTACTATATGCACATAGGGAAAATCAATGACCCCCGTGGGTGGGGCCAATTTTGACCCTAGGGCTTTTATTTGAACAAACTTTGTAGACACTCATTAGAAGATGTTTCATGCTAAATATCTTAGCTCTAGCTCTTTGGGTTCTTTAAAAGAAGATTTTTTAAGTTTTAACTATATGCATATAGGGAAAATCAAAGACACCCTGGGGCGGGGCCAATTTTGACCCTAGGGCTTTTATTTGAACAAACTTGGTAGACACTCACTAGAAGATGTTTCATGCTTTATATCTAAACACTAGCTATCTGGGTCTTTTCAAAGAAGATTTTTAAGTTTTTGCTATACACAGTCATATAAGGAAAATCAATGACCCCGGGGTGGGGCCAATTTTGACCCTAGGGCTTTGATTAGAACAAACTTTGTAGACACTCACTAGAAGATGTTTCATGCTTAATAGCTAAACTCCAGCTATTTGGGTTTTTTTTAAAGAAGATTTTTGAAGTTTTTGCTATACACATATAAGGAAAATCAATGAGCCCCGGGGCGGAGCCAATTTTGACCCCAGGGCTTTTATTTGAACAAACTTGGTAGACACCTATTAGAACATGTTTCATGCCAAATATCTAAGCTCTAGCTCTTACGGTTTTTTAGAAGAAGATTTTTTAAGTTTTTCTTATTGGTTGCCATGGCAACCAGAGTTTTTAATGGAATTTAAATTTTTGAACAACTTTGAAAGGGGTCCACCTAAGGATCATTTCTGTAAAGTTTGGTTGCAATTGGCCATGTAGTTTAGGAGGAGATGTTGTTTGAAAAGTTTGACGCCATTTTTTGAAGGACGCACGACGCACGCAGAGTGATGACAAAAGCTCACCTTTGAGCACTTCGTGCTCAGGTGAGCTAAAAAGTAATTGATCAATAAGAGAATTTATTAGGACACTATCGCAACATCTTTTATCTCTAAATAGCATTATGACAGTTAATTACAATTAGGTATCTCTTTTCAACATACTGTATAAAAAAATACATCCTATTGTCTTTTAATATAGCTTTTATCAGGTAAGTTCTGTAAGGGCAAGTGTTATCAGGCACTTATGATAACTGAAAAGCTGGGATAAAGTACCTGTGTACATTACTTTTGGAAGTTTGTTTGTTTCATTTTACGCCTTTGCCCCAACAGTATTTCAGTCATATAGGCGGGTAGTTTCCTAACCATCGTTCCTGGAGAGCTACACCAGTACTACACTACCTTCCTCCGTGCTTAACTACCAAAGCATCTCCCAGGGATCAAACCCACGCCAGAGAGGTAACTGGATTAGAAGTCATTGACTCTAACCCCTTGACCACGGAGGCGGTTTTGTTTGTTTTGGGTTTTACGTCACACCGACACAGTATAGGTCATATCGCGACATTCCAGCTTTACTGGTGGAGGAAGACCTCAGGTGCCCTTCCATGCATTATTTCAGGCACGAACGGGCACCTGAGTAGAACCACAGACATTCCGTAAGCTAGCTGGAAAGCTTCCTCACTTGAAAAAAGTCCCTGTCGGGATTCGAACCCACAGCGGTGAGGGGCAAGTGGTTTGAAGTCAACCACCTTAACCACTCGGCCATGGACGCCCCCACGGAGGCGGTATTTTTGGAGGTAATCCAAAATCAAAACCACCCACCCCTGACTATTAAAAATCATTATTCTTCAGAACCACATGCAGTCATTAGTGAGGTTCTATTGTATTTCATAAGTAGCGGTATTTTCCAGCTATTTTGGGCTAACTTAATAGAGAAAAACTGTGTAGCAATTTTTGAAAATTCGAAAAGTTTAAAAACAACCTTAGACATGATTGTTTGAGTTTTATTCATGTATTATATGATCACATTATAACCTGTCATTTTTTTAAAGAAACATTTGGCAAAAAGCAGTTCAATTTTTCTTAGAAGATATATCAGGTTAGTTGTATCTTTTGAAATTGGGAAAAATAGAGGTTATTTTGGATTTGGGAATGGGGCCATATATCAGCCTCTGGTGAAAGAGTGGAAATTGTTTATTTATTCATACACAATTTGATTCAAACTATTTATACATCTTTAAATAAGACAACATCTGGCACATTAATTCTCATAAACATATTTTTCTACATTGATTATTTTGATCTTAATTAAACACTCTTAACAAATTAAGCAAACACATAAAAGATAAAAGTAGTGCTAAAACTCATGGTTGCATGGTGAACACCTCAAATCATTGCTACCATATATGATCCCTTACACTGCTTTTAAATAAGTTGGCAGTAACAGAACAAGGCCGGCTGGGGTGGGGGTGGGGGGAGGAGGGTAGCATGAGACAGAGGTGGGAAGATTGGTTCCAGCATCTGTACAAGTGAACAAAATGGGTGTGGGAGAAGTGTTCCTTCCTATAGACTGAAAATTTTGAAATCTGAGGTAGAAAATAGTGAGATTTCCTTGACTTTCCAATTCTTTAATATGGTAGCATTTTGATGATTTAGCGACACAATTCTATATTCTGATCAAAATAATGACTAAATGTTAAAAGAATGCCATGGCCCTAATTACCTGAAAATGTAATAGGGTATTAGGGCCAGGGGCCCTAAGGGAGGGAAATTTGCATGAATTTTGTCACCAACAACACTTATAATGTTAAGCATTACACATAGCATTTGCAAAAAAGTAAATTTCAATATAATATTGTTAAGATCCTGCTTTACACAGGTAAAAGAACATTTTCTTTAATATCATGGTGTGTCGTTTTTATGCCCCTCTTTGAAGAAGAGGGGGTTAATTGTTTTGCTAATGTCTGTCTGTCTGTCTGTCCGTCCGTCAGTCGGTCCGTTGGTAGACCACATGGTTTCCCCTGATTATCTTGAAAACTATTCATCACAAGGTCATCATATTATGCATATTGATTGGTCATAACTAGAAGATGACCCCTATAGATTTTGGGGTCACAAGGTCAAAGGTCAAGGTCACAGGGTTCTTAAATGTTTGTATGGTTTCCGCTCATTATCTTGAAAGCTATTTATAACAAAGTCTTCATATTTCTAATTTTGATTGGTCATTACTATTAGATGACCCCTCTTGATTTTGGGTCATTAGTTCAAAGGTCTAGGTCACAGAGGCCTAAAATTTCTCAATATCTTGAAAACTATTTATAACAAAGTCTTCATTATTTTTCTTTTTATCCATAGCTGAACACTTCTATGTACCCATTTATTTCTATAAAAAAAAAAACACCAATAATGTGAGTCAAGGGCTAGAAAGGGGGGCATATGTGTCGTTCGACATTTCTTGTTTAATCTTTAAAAAAAATGGGTAAAATATGAATTGAAGAAGGGAATGGGGCTGAATTTCCATCCTTATAAATATTAGATAAGGACCTTTCAATCATAAGGATGTAATAACTGACCAGCATTTTTATTTTCTATATCAACCATTTCATCCCATTTTCCCTTCACCTATCTTCACAACATACAATTAGTCATCATTCTTGCAGATAAGTAAAATAACTACTACTTACTAAATCTCTTCAGGGAGAAATTTGCAATTATTTCGCTTTGAATCCTATTGATTGATTCTATCAATGGTACAAGTTTGAACATATCTATCAGCAACAGCATGTGATTACTGGGATGATTTCTCTTCATTTCAAACGCAAGAGTATCCAGTAAATGCGAGTAAAGTTGATTAACTTTGTCCTTATCTTCTAACTCAATTCCAGCTAGAAAAATATATAAAACAAAATAAAGTATTATTTATAAGAAACTTAATACTATACAGCTGGGTAATGAGTTTTCCAGCCAGAAAAATAAAAAAAATACAGAAACATTTATACAACTAAATAGTTAAAAAGATCAAAGGAGAGAAAACAGATATAAAAAAGTAGAAATAAATTCTTACCAAAATATTAATGCTTGTATAAAAATAAGGAGGTTGTTCATTACAGGATTATATTGATTATCAACCTGTTTTTGACTTGAGTGAATTTTGCTTCAATATAATGCCACAAGGTTTGGAAGCTAAAAAGTGTGATCCATTGTAGTAAATTCTATAAAATATACATGTATATATAAATACTAGATGATGTAAATCTCACAATTACCCATTTATTACATGTATATGCATGTACCTCATTGTTTTAGAACTACTGTTCCATGTCGAAAATTAGCAAATTCAAAATTCCAGACATTTCCCTTGGGGAAATATAAGCGAATTATGCAGAGGTAGAATTTAATGACAGGTTGGTTGATATTTAAGCTAGAGAATATTTTAGTGATTTTCATCAATTCTTGAAATTTGCCAATAATTCCGCTGTAACTTAACTCCTTTTAAACATAATGTCATCATGTCTGCCTATGAATAATATCAGTCCTATCATACTCTTACACAATACATACATGTATTTTCTCTCTGTCAGGTCCTATTTTCTCTCTGTCAGGTCCTATTTTCTCTCTGTCAGGTCGTATTTCCTCTATCAGGTCATATTTTCTCTGTCAGGTCATAATTTCCCTGTCAGGCCTACCACCATATTTATTCTCTGTCAGGTCATTTTTTTCTGTCATGTCATATTTTTCTGTCAGGTTATATTTTCACTCTGTCAGGTCATATTTTCTCTCTGTCAGGTCATAATTTCTCTGTCAGGCCTACCATCACATTTATTCTCTGTCAGGTCATATTTTCTCTGTCAGGTCATATTTCTCTGTCAGGTTATATTTTCTCTCTGTCAGGTCGTATTTTCTCTCTGTCAGGTCATAATTTCTTTGTCAGGTCACATTGATTCTCTGTCAGGTCAAATTTATTCTCTGTCAGGTCATATTTTCTCTGTCAGGTCATAATTTCTCAGTCAGGTCATATTTACTGTCTGTCAGGTCACATTTTCTCTGTCAGGTCATATTTTCTCTGAAAGGTCACATTTTCTCTGTCAGGTCATACCTTCTCTCTGTTAGGTCCTATTCACTCTCTCTCAGGTCATATTTTCCCTCTGTCAGGTCATATTTTCTCTGTTAGGTCACATTTTTTTCTCTGTCAGGTCATTTTTTCTTTATCAGGTCTAGGTCACATTTTTTCTCTGTCAGGTCATATTTTCTCTATCAGGTCATATTTCTCTGTCAGGTCATATTTTCCCTGTCAGGTCATATTTCTCTGTCAGGTCATATTTCTCTGTCAGGTCATATTTTCTCTGTCAGGTCATATTTCTCTGTCAGGTCATATTTCTCTATTAGGTTATATTTTCTCTCTGTCAGGTCATATTTTCTCTGTAAGGTCATATTTCTCTGTCAGGTTATATTTTCTCACTGTCAGGTCATATTTTCTCTGTAAGGTCATATTTCTCTGTCAGGTCATATTTTCCCTCTGTCAGGTCATATTTTCTCTGTTAGGTCACATTTTTTTCTCTGTCAGGTCATTTTTTCTCTATCAGGTCTAGGTCACATTTTTTCTCTATCAAGTCTAGGTCACATTTTTTCTCTGTCAGGTCATATTTTCTCTCTTTCAAGTCATATTTATGTATGTGATACAAGCAGTTAATGTAGAAAATTATTAACAGGTATAAAATAAAATCAATTTATAGCATAGGTGGCTTCATCCATGATGAAGCTTTTGGAAAGTTATATCAAAGGTATGGCATAAAGTGGATGAATTGATTTCTAGACTGAGTGACATAAACCTTGACACTAGTTACCTCAAACCCCTTCTAAGGTATAAAAAAGAAGCATAATCTATTAGAAGTGTTAGTGACCTTGACCATAATAACATCAAACCCCAAATAATAGACATCCATTTGGTATAACTGTATATCAATAAAGGCTCTAAAAGTTTAAGAATATCGTTTTTTGTCCTTGTACATCCTTGACCTTGACCTAATTGAATTTAACGCTTCATGTAAAGAATTGATGTAAAACTTTGTAATAATGGTCAGTGAATAAGATATACGAGGGTTGTTCAAAAAGTAATAGGACTAAGAGTCTTATGTCTCCAAATTCCATTAGATTTTAAATATTTTCATATCCACGGCAATAGTTAACTGTTTTCTACAACTTCAGCATAAGTTTATTGAATTATTGCGCTAAACCGTGTTTCCCTGTGATATTAAAAAACCATGGTAACACGCACCCGGCGCAGCGCATCAAAAATATTTTGACCTAATTTGTACTTTCAGTGTATTCATAATATGTTTGTCTTTTCCCCCTAATATTTTCACCAACGACATTTTATCATATTAAAGTGTCATGTTGTCCAAATTTGACGTCATTCAGACAAGAAATCGCTAAACTATAACGTTTTGAACAGAAAGTGACTTTAATACCCCGTTAATGTAGAAAAATGACGTTTGTGAAAAACTCAAACGTGTACGATCATTAAATTTTGCCACAGATAGGCCCGTACTCCTTACGGCTACGTATGAAAAGATTAAATTTTCACAGAACAATAATTAGGCATAAGGACACTCGTTTTCACGTGGAAAAGCAGTTCAAAGATGGTGAATATGAGATCACAGACACGAAGGGCTAGGAGAAAGCGGAAAATTGACGGACGTTAGAGACGTTAATTGCCAATAGCTCTACAAAAGTAACGGCGAATATACAGACGCAAACTGTCCGGCATGTTTGATGTTTGCATCGGGTATACTGTTTCAGTTTTAAGAAAATTATTGAATAGGGGAAATTTGTTTTAAACAAACTATTTTATTTTATTAGTATATATAATGTGTGTGTGTTTGTTGTTATCATTGAATAAATTTGATAATGATACAAGGTAATTATAGTATCAATTTTTCTCGATTTCGTTTAATAAATGATAGCCTGTGCTCAAAGAAGAGAATATTTTCAATTAATAAGCATTTTTAATTTACTGTACATATCATATTGTTTTAAGAATGTAAGATGGCCATGTGTAAATAATAATATACATCACTTATGTCATTTACATTATATGTCCATGGCCGTTTAGCTTCCAGAATACTCAAAATCACGAGATCAAACCGAAAGTTGCCGGCCACCGGGCATGTTTCGAATAAAGAAATGAAAATGTGATTGCTTTTTTTCGACAAATGAGTTCTGGTAATTGTTACATGATTCAATCACCTAGAACATTGTGGAGAATAATTTTAGAAAGAATGACGCTGTTTACATTTTGAATTTATTTTGCGACGTCATGAACGTCATTTATTTAACTATTAGCGTGCGCCGGGTCGCGTACCCCTTGTCATTTGTACGTTGTACAGAATTGTTATTTTTAAACATATTGTATTGATTTTTTCACTGTATATAGAGGACACATTCCGATATTCGATTTTTGTAAACTCGTGTACGTAGATGAAAAAATGTGAACAGTAGAGCTGCAGTCCTATTACTTTTTGAACAACCCTCGTATATGACAAAAATAGAAAATAAGATTCTGAGCAATCCAAGTGACCTCTTTCTTACAAATGCGCCAATTCTGAACACAGAAGCATTATTTGTATAAACTTAACTTTATGTACAAACTAAGTAGGTGTCTACTCAGTCATGTTATACAATTATATTAACTCTAAGCCTATATAATTATAGTTTTTTACAAGATTTTTGAAATATCATCCAGTATTAAATCCAATGCCCTCAAAAGACTGGGTCAATTTTGACGTAAATGCATTCATCTCTCGAATTTAATAAGCTAGTTTATGAATGCTGAGCATTTTCTAGTTCAAGTGACGACTACAACCATATTTAGTATATTTAGGCCTGCTTTAACCAGTTCGAGCTGCAAAGTTAACATTTGACTATAACAGTATTTGATGTGATTTTAAACTCACAAGGAAGAAGATAACAAAAGAACCATACTTGTTGTAGTTAGTCTAACAGCTGAGAACAAAGCTGTCTCTAGATCTGTGAGCTCTAGTTTATTGTACGACTCGGCAAAAGCCATGATTGTGTCAACCATTTCATCATTGAGAATTTTCCTCATGGCCTCTGCAGAATAAATCTCCCCAGTAGGAAGTATCCAGAAACTTTGTCCATTTTGAAAATACTCAGCATATGACAGCTGAAATGTTAATAAACCTTTTTAATTTCACAAGAGCGATCAGTTATCACATGTGTTGCCTCATGATGGCCAATTTCATGTTGGGACAAATTTTATGACTGACGGACAGACAGACGGACAGTGCACAACTAAACTTGGAACTGATCATTCCGGTAAAGTTTGGATAAAATTGCACCAGTAGTTTATGAGGAGTAGTCCGGACAAACTTTTGCGTATCTGGCAACACTAAGAACAAGAGGGCCATGTTGGCCCTAGATCGCTCACCTGACCCATCAAACTCATTCCCAAACAATTATTAGACAAGCATTCTGACCAAGTCTCATGACAGGTGAGTCAAAAATGTGCCACTACAGTGTTAACAAGGAATTATCTCATATTTGAGGCAGTGTGACTAGTTTTTACCCAGGTGACCATATTCAAACTTGACCTAAAAATCATCAAAACAAACTTTCAGACCAATTTCCAGTATACTTGGATCAAAACAGTAGCAACTAGAGTGTTAACAAGATTTTTCTATTTTTAGCTCCGGTGACCTAGTTTCACATGCAATTTAGAACTCATCCGAGCAATTACCTAGACAAGCATCCTGACCAAGTTTGATGACAGACAGACGGACAGTGCACAACTAAACTTGGAACTGATCATTCCGGTAAAGTTTGGATAAAATTGCACCAGTAGTTTATGAGGAGTAGTCCGGACAAACTTTTGCGTATCTGGCAACACTAAGAACAAGAGGGCCATGTTGGCCCTAGATCGCTCACCTGACCCATCAAACTCATCCAAACAATTATCTAGACAAGCATTCTGACCAAGTCTCATGACAGGTGAGTCAAAAATGTGACCACTACAGTGTTAACAAGGATTATCCATATTTGAGCAGTGTGACCTAGTTTTTTACCCAGGTGACCCATATTCAAACTTGACCTAAAAATCATCAAAACAAACTTTCAGACCAATTTCCAGTATACTTGGATCAAAACAGTAGCAACTAGAGTGTTAACAAGATTTTTCTATTTTTAGCTCCGGTGACCTAGTTTCACATGCAATTTAGAACTCATCCGAGCAATTACCTAGACAAGCATCCTGACCAAGTTTGATGATAATTGAGTTGAAAATGTGACCACTAGAATGTTAACAAGGTTTTTCAATATTTGGGCGGTGTGACCTAGTTTTTCATCCAAGATGACCCATGTTCGAACTTGACTTAGAAATCATCAAAACAAACTTTCAGACCAATTTACAGGATATTTGGATCAAAACAGTAGCAACTAGAGTGTTAACAAGATTTTTCTATTTTTAGCTCCTGTGACCTAGTTTTTCATCCGAGATGACCAATGTTCAAACTCATCCAAGCTATCAACTAGACAAACATCCTGACCAAGTTTGATGATGATTGAGACAAAATTGTGACCGCTAGAGTGTTAACAAGGTTTTTCTATTTTTAGCTCCGGTGACCTACTTTTTCATCCGAGATGACCCATGTTCGAACTCATCCGAGTTATCATCTAGAAAAACATCCTGACCAAGTTTGATGATGATTGAGGCAAAAATGTGACCGCTGGAGTGTTAACAAGGTTTTTCTATTTTTAGCTCCAGTGACCTTCTATTTCACCTGAGATGACCCATGTTCGAACTCATGCAAGCTATCACCTAGACAAGCATCCTGACCAAGTTTGATGATGATTGAGGCAAAAATGTGACCTCTAGAGTGTTAACAAGGTTTTTCTATTTTTAGCTCTTGTGACCTAGTTTTTCATTCGAGATGACCCATGTTCGAACTCATCCGAGCTATATACTACATAAGCATCCTAACCAAGTTTGATGATGATTGAGGCAAAAATGCTACCGCTAGAGTGTTAACAACAAAATGTGAACAGACGGACAACGGATGACGGACAATCATCGATCCTAAAAGCTCACCCTGAGCATGCTCAGGTGACCTAAAAAACACCTTTTATAATGGGCCTAATCAAGGCTAAAAATTCAACGGTAAAACCCCCGCATATGGCAAGGACTTGAGTCAGATCATTGAAATTGCATTAGTGGGACAAGAGAAGTAGTTCCGGGCAAACTTTTTAAAAAAAAAAAAAAGG